TATATATATATATATAATAACTTATTTACTATTTTTTTTATTTTTATATAATTATTAATTAAAATAGTATATTATGAATTTTTTAAAATTAACTTTATAGAAATTACAACGATGACAATAGTATTTGAATCTAAAATTTTGTACATATTACTCTAATTCTTATCATTAAACAAACTCTTTTAAAAATTAGCTACACGCAGATAAAAAATTTTATTTTCTCTTTTATTAGGATTGGAGAAGATAAATGAATATATCAATTTTTTTTCTTTTAAACATTAATTAATTAGGTGAAAAATTATTAAATAAAAAAAAGAATTTTAAAAAAGCAGTTTAAATTATATATTAATAAATTTAATAATTTTAACTAAATTAACTATTTTTTTTCAAAGAATGTAACTTAATTGAAAGAGTCTTATAATTAAAAATAAAGATAATATTACTTATGAAATATATTTTATAACGATTCGAGAGATTTTTTCACTTTATAATATTAATATGAAAAATATAAATATAACTATATGAGATTAATGTGCAACAATTAAACTCCTTAAAAATATATAAATTTCATTTAATTTCAAGGACTAATATAACGAGTGAAGTAAAATTATATTTATCAAATTTAATTACATCTTATCAACGACTAATGTAAAATTAAAGTTCAATCAACTGTTAATATTTATTTACTCAATGACACACATATAAAAATTAATAATAATTCAAATATATACATAATAATTTATTTAGTAAATTCCAATCTTGTGTAATTATTAATTAAAATTATATATTATAAACTATTTTAAATTTAGTTACATATTTATAAAACCATTATCTTTAATTATTATTGTTTGTGAAATATCCATTAAAAAAGAAACACTAGTAATATACTAATATTGCTCTAAAAATATAGCACTAGTAATATTCACTTCTAGATGTAATTTCGTTGTCAGAATTAAAAACAGGTGCTGTTGAAAGAACCCAAAATTTGGAGCAATTAAATGAGGATATATTTCTGTATAAAATCTCCCACCAAAAGTCTAATTCTTGTTTAACAGCAACGATTCACACTCTTCTGTTCTGAGGATCCAACACACCAAACCAAACCAAACCAATGGCTCCTTCTGAACCCATTGTTCATGTGGCTTTCCTCCCGAGTGCTGGCATGGGACACCTTAATCCATGTCTCAGATTAGCAACATTGTTCCTACGCTATGGTTGCAAAGTCACTCTCATCACTCCCAAACCCACTGTCTCTCTCGCCGAATCTAACCTCATCTCTCGTTTCTGTTCCTCTTTCCCATTAAACCTCACCACGGTGGATCCAACCACGGTTAACACTAACGACCCTTTTTGGCTTCAGTACGAAACCATTCGTCGTTCGGTTCATCTTGTAGCTCCAATCCTATCTTCCCTTTCAACACCTCTCACTGCTTTCATCTATGATGTTTTATTAATCTCTCCCTTACTTCCAATCACTGAGAAACTCTCTTGTCCACGTTACATCTACTTCACCTCAGCATCTAGAATGCTCTCTTTCTTCGCACACCTTTCTGTTCTTGCTGCTTCAGATCCAACTTCACAACCACACCCTTCTTCATTCATTCGTGATGTGGTTAAAATCCCTGGCATAGCATCACCGATACCAAGATCCTCGCTCCCTCCTCCGCTCCTTCAACCTAACTCTCTCTTCGAGAGCATGTTCATGGAGGACAGTGGCAAACTCGCGAAGCTTGACGGGGTTTTCATCAACTCGTTTGAGGAGTTCGAAGGAGAGGCACTAGCGGCAGTTAACGAAGGGAAAGTGGTTAAAGAGTTGCCTCCAGTGTACGGCGTTGGTCCCTTGATGGCGTGTGAGTTTGAGAATGTGGAGAGGGGTTGCATGAGTTGGATAATGAAGTGGCTTGATGGAAAAAGTGAAGGGTCTGTGGTGTACGTTAGTTTGGGGAGCAGGACTGAGACGAGGAGGGAGCAGATAAAAGACATGGCTTTGGGGTTGATAGAAAGTGGGTATAGTTTTTTGTGGGTTGTGAAGTTGAAGATGGTTGATAGAGAAGAGGAGGAGAGTTTGGAGGATGTGTTGGGGAGTGAGTTGATGAAAAAGGTGAAGGAAAAGGGTGTGGTTGTGAAGGAGTTTGTGGATCAGATGGGGATTCTGGGTCACCCTTCAGTGGGGGGGTTTGTGAATCATGGAGGGTGGAACTCAATAATAGAGACTGTGTGGCAAGGGGTGCCTATTATGACATGGCCTCAGCATGGTGATCAGAAGATAACATCAGAGGCAGTGAGAATGAGTGGTGTGGGGATTTGGCCTCATGAGTGGGGTTGGGGGACACAAGAGATTGTGAATGGGAAAGAGATTGCTAACAAAATCAAAGAGTTGATGGGGAATGAATCTTTGAGGGTCAAAGTTGCAGAAATGAAGGAAGCTGCTAGGAAGGGTGCTGGTGTTGGTGGGAGTTGTGAGGCTATTATGCAGAGACTAATTGAGGAGTGGAAGAGGAATGTTAAATCTAATTAAGCATTCGCACTCAACAGTATTTAGATACTGACAAAGGATAATTAGTTTGTTATTTTGGTTGTATTTCCTGTTGGGAGTTTAATATGTTTTATTGTTGCAGAAAAAGTTGTGGGTTGGGTTTGGAAATTTTCCAAGATCTGAGCATGTTTTATGATTTAAAGAGAAATATATATTCTTCCATCAACCATTTCCACTTACTAGCTGACCAACTCGTCTTGAATGGTAGTTGTGTTTTTTATGTGTTATCTTAAATTACTTCATATATATATATATATATATATATAAAAGTAGTTTTTTACTTTTTTTTTTTCAAGAAGATTCTGATCTACTTGTTTTTTTTTTTTTTTTTAAATTTAATCACTTATTTTAAGACCCACATTTAGTCGCAAGTTGTTGTTATATAATTGGGATTTGAGAATCAAGCGCCATTGTCTAAATCCTAAATATACGAAAACTAATGAGAAAATAGAAATAACTTGTCTATTTATTATCTAGTCCATAACAACTAAAATGGAACTCAACGTGAGAAATCTATAAAAAAATAAGGAAGCAAATTTAACAATATTTTTGAAAATTTTTCTATTAACCCGCTATATTCCAACACCACTGCATCGATAACTCCAACCATTGCACACACTTGAGTAACTTTGAAGATTCCTTATTTCTTCTGTGTAACCATGTCATGTGCACCAAAGTCATGTTATATTAAGAATTGGTTATATATTAAGAATTTGAGATTCATTTTGTCAAATACCTAACATTTTTTTATCATAGTTTACGAATACTTAAGTTCAGATTGTTTAACAAATAGCAGTCCAACTGTGAAGTTTACATGAAGCCCCGAGAACTAGAATATATGATGCCTTCCCCCAATCTCTATTGCCTAATTAACTAAAAAAATTATCATTTACCAACTATTTAACAAAAAATTTATAAAGTTTTAAGATTTAAAATTCTTTCTCTCTGAGTGCAGGGCATCCTCATATGCTAGACTCTCATGTTGATAATTTAGCACGAAAATGAAAAATAATAGAATGAAAGGGTTGATAATTATAGGTAGATTGAACATTGTTCTCAATTTATCTCTGAATAATAACCTCGATTTCCAAACCCTGCTCACTAAACTTATTGTAACGAAATAATAACACCCAACAAAACTCTACCAATTGAAAATCTAACCACAAACAACAGAACAACAAATTAACTAAGTAGCCTTTGTCAGTAGCTAAATACTCTAAATGCCTAGGTAGATTGAGCATTTTTCTTCCACTCCTCAATTTGTCTCTGAACAATAGCCTCACAACTCCCACCGACACCAGCAGCCCTCCTAGCAGCCTCCTTCATTTCTGCAACTTTGACCCTAAAAGATTCATTCCCCATCAATTCTTTGATTCTGTTAGCAATCTCTTTGGCTTTGACCACCTCTTGTGTCCCCCAGCCCCACTCCTGAGGCCAAATCCCCACACCACTCATTCTCACTGCCTCTGATGTTATCTTCTGATCACCATGGTGAGGCCATGTCATAATAGGCACCCCTTGCCACACACTCTCAATTATTGAGTTCCACCCTCCATGATTCACAAACCCCCCCACTGAAGGGTGACCCAGAATCCCCATCTGATCCACAAACTCCTTCACAACCACACCCTTTTCCTTCACCTTATTCATCAACTCACTCCCCAACACATCCTCCAAACCCTCCTCCTCTTCTCTATCAACCCTCTTCAACTTGACCACCCACAAAAAGCTATACCCACTTTCTATCAACCCCAAAGCCATGTCTTTTATCTGCTCCCTCCTCGTCTCAGTTCTGCTCCCCAAACTAACATACACCACCGACCCTTCACTTTTTCCATCAAGCCACTCCAATATCGAACCCATGCAACCCCTTTGACCTTGTTCCTCATTCTCAAACTCACACGCCATTAACGGACCAACACCGTACACTGGAGGCAACCCTTTAACCACTTTCCCTCCATTGAGTGCCGCTAGTGCCTCTCCTTCAAACTCCTCAAACGAGTTGATGAAAACCCCATCAAGCTTCACGAGTTTGCAGCTGTCCTCCATGAAGAGACTCTGAAAGAAGTTCTTACAAGGCTGAAGAAGCAAACCGGGAACCGAGGATCTCGGTATTGGCAATGCCAACCCCGGGATTTTCACCTCATCACCTATGAACGAAGAAGGGTGAGGGTGAGGGTCCGTATTGGAAGCAGCGAGGACGTGATAGTGTGCGAAGAAAGAGAGCATTCTAGATGCTGAAGTGAAGTAGATGTAAGAGGGGCATGAGAGTTTGTCGGTGATTGGAAGAAGAGGGGAGATGAAGGTAACATCGTAGATGAAAGCAGTGAGAGGTGTGGAGAGTGAAGAAAAGATCGGAGATAGAAGGTGTACGGAACGACGAATGGTGTCGAACTGAATGAAAAAAGGGTCGTCGGTGTTAACCGTGGCTGGATCCAGAGTGATGAGGTTTAAGTCAATTTGGGTTACTTGGTGAGGGCAAGAGGAACAGAAGCGAGAGATGAGGTTAGACTCTGCGATGGAAACAGTGGGCTTGGGAGTGATGAGAGTGGCTTTGCAGCCATGGCGGAGGAACAGTGTTGGTATCCTCAGACATGGGTTAAGGTGTCCCATGCCAGCACTTGGGAGGAAAGCCACATGAACAACGGATTCAGAAGCAGACATTGGTTCGGTTTGGTTCCTCCAAAGAGTGTGAATAGTTGCCGATGTTGTTAAATGAATCAGGTTGAATTGTCACCTTGTAATATAAACAAATAGAATGGAGATATTGTTCACTATAAAAAATGTGGTTGGATTGCTGTTAAAAGAAAAAAAAAAAAAAAAAAAAAAAAAAAAAAAAACAGAGAGAGAGAAGAATGCGAATTGTTGGTGTTGTTAATTAAAGGGGGAAAAGAGTGTGATTTTATTTGGTGGGTAGTTGGGTACTTTACTAGGGTTTAATAAGGTAGAAAACATGTCAAGAACTGTATATCACAACATGACTGGCTGGTGGAGATTTTTGTCCACAAATCCTCATTTACCTGTCCCAAAATTTTGGTTCTTTGAAAGTACCCGTTGTTAATTCTCGTGCCTTCTCTATTATATAATAAATAAACACCTGTATTTGGTTAATATTCATTTATTTATTAATATTATAATTAAGTTCTTATATTTTTTTTTAATAATTCCTTTAATTTAATCTTTCCATTTTATTTTTTCTATTCAAATGTTTTCCCTCTTTTTGAAGAATTTGGATCCTCTCTAGCAAATTTCTCTCTCCAGCCTCTCTCTTGCAATATTAATAGTCATTAGATATATCTAATGGCTATTAATATTGCAGGAGAGAGGCTAGAGAGAGAAATTTGTTGAAGTGGATCCAAATTCCTTTTTGAATCCAAATAATATTTTGTTTTGAAGCAGAAATTTTTTACATCATTATTTATTTTTTATTTTTCAAATGTTAATTAAGGAAAAATCATTAAAATTATTTTAGTTTCTTAAATTTTAGTTGAAATAAATAGAATAAATATATAAATATATATTAATAACTATTTTTGGTACATTTACATGTAAAAGTATAAATGTTGTGTCTTTTTATTTTTTATTATGTTCTTTATAATATTATTTTATATTATTTTTTTATAGCTTACGCTTTTATATTATTTTAAAATATTTATATATTATCATTGTAGTAATTTTTTTTTCTTTTTAAAATTTGTACTATATATTTATCTGCTATTAGTTTTTTTATTTGAATCATATATATAGTCACAATTAAATTTTTTTATATAATTATTTTTTAAAAATAAGATATTAATCAAAATAAAATTTTTAAAATTATATTAATTTCATATGTTTTAAGTAATATATATATATTTCAATTTGTATCGAGTAATTTGAAATTGTATTAATTAAATTAATTTGTGTTTATATATATATATATTAATAATTAGACTTGGTACTATGAGACCCCATTTTCGTTTTTCTTTCTTCCCCAACTCTCTTTCCCACTCAAACCCTCACTTCTCCTCACTTGCCCATTTTCTTCCTTGTGGTGGTTGTCGTAACTTAGGTGTTGGCTAGTGGCATTCGGAGCTGGCTGAAGTTCTTCTTCCTTGTCTCATCTCTTCGTTCATTTTCTCCTCCGATCGAGCTTCTTCTTCTCCGTTTCTTCTTCCCGAAGCTCGAATTCTCGCACCGAGGTAAGGGAAGCTAGGTCTTGCTGATTTTGGCTGTAAATGAGTTCTAGAAACTCGTTTGTTGGTTGAGGTTTGATGGTCCTTGGTTGAGATTGCTGAAAATGGAGTTTTGGGGTTTTCGAGGTTTTGGAGGAAAATTCGGGTTTTTCTTGTTTGATGGTTGCATGTGTGGAAATATTATATTTTTGAAATCTTGGATGAAAATGTGAGCTTTTGGCTGGTTTGCATGTGCTGGAAATGTGAAGTTTTGCAGGTTTTGGGCAAGATTTTCGAACTTGGTGAGTTGTTGCTGGATACCACGCTGAGCGTCGTTCTTCGCGCCGGGCGCGTGACCATCAAAGGGCTCCATTTAGGCAAACCCGTCGGGCGCAAAGGTGTATGCACCGGGCGAGCTTGAGGATGTGAGCCTTTAGGTGGCCCATGCCGGGCGTGACTTGGACCGCGCCAGGCGCGATATCAGTGAGTAACAAGTTTTTGGGTTTCTGGTACTGCACCGGGTGCGACCATTGTCGCGCTGGGCGTGGGGACTTCTTGGGAGTCTCTGCCATGGGGGCGCTGGGCGCAATTTGAATTGCGCTGGGCGCGAGACCTTGGGGAGGTCTCTGCCTTTCCCGTGCCGGGCGCAGGTCTGGGCACGCTGGGCGCGTGAAACTCCTCAGAGTCTCTGCCTGGGTTTGCGCTGGGCGCAATTGGTATTGCGCCAGGCGCGTGTAAGCCTTGGGCTCTCTGGCTGGGACACGTCGGGCGCGAGCACTCTTGCGCCGGACGCGCTGGCCCCTGGTGCTCTCTAGTTATGCCACGCCTGGCGCGACCAGGAGTACGCCGGGCGCGGAGGTGATGTTTAACTACATGCTGTTAGATGTTGTAAAATGCTGATAAATGTTGTTTTATGCTGAACTAAGCTACAATTGATGAATATGCTGTGCTAACTAGTTGATAATGCTGAATTATGATGTTGAGCTGTATTAGATGTATATTGTTGAGCTGTGTTGTGCTGTGAGCTGTTATTGCTGTAATTTGTGTTGTGTTGTATGCTGATATAAACTGTTGTAGGCCGTAAGGCTGAGCTATTGTAGGTCGTAAGGCTGAGCTGTTGTAGGTCGTAAGGCTGAGCTCTTGTAGGCGGTAAGGCTAAGCTCTTGTAGGTCGTAAGGCTTAGCTGTTGTAGGAGATCTCCGAGCTGATATTGTAATATCCCAAATTTTATTAAATAAAACAGGTTATTTTGATTTTAAATATTTATTGAGATTATTAGAAAGTTTATCATATTTTTATATACGTATTTTACTATTTATATATACGTATTTTACTATTCACATATACGTATTTACGTATTTATGAATAGTAAAATGATAAAAAAATGTTAGGTATTGACAAAATGAATCTCAAATTCTTAATATATAACCAATTCTTAATATAACATGACTTTGGTACACATGACATGGTTACACAGAAGAAATAAGGAATCTTCAAAGCTACTCAAGTAGTGTGTGCAATGGTTGCAGTTATCGATGCAGTGGTGTTGGAATATAGCGGGTTAACAGAAAAATTTTCAAAAATATTTTTAAATTTGCATCCTTATTTTTTTTGTAGATTTCTCACGTTGAGTTGCTTGTGAGTGTTATGGACTAGATAATAAATAAACAAGTTATTTTTCTTTTCTCATTAGTTTTCGTATATTTATGATTTAGACAATGGCGCTTGATTCTCAAATCCCAATTATAGAACAACAAATTGCGACTAAATGTGGGTCTTAAAATAAGTGATTTAAAAAAAATTAAAAAAAACAAGTAGACCATAATCTTCTTGAAAAAAAAAAGAGAGTAGAAAATTACTTATATATATATATATGTGTGTGTGTGAGAAAATTCGTTTACTCTAAAAATAAGTTTACGGGGATGTATTGGATTAAGATTTTAAAGAACGTTTTTAGTTAAAAAAATCTTGTGAATTTTAAAAGAATTTATAAGATTTTCATATATATATATATATAAAAGTAGTTTTTTACTTTTTTTTTTTCAAGAAGATTCTGATCTACTTGTTTTTTTTTTTTTTTTTAAATTTAATCACTTATTTTAAGACCCACATTTAGTCGCAAGTTGTTGTTATATAATTGGGATTTGAGAATCAAGCGCCATTGTCTAAATCCTAAATATACGAAAACTAATGAGAAAATAGAAATAACTTGTCTATTTATTATCTAGTCCATAACAACTAAAATGGAACTCAACGTGAGAAATCTATAAAAAAATAAGGAAGCAAATTTAACAATATTTTTGAAAATTTTTCTATTAACCCGCTATATTCCAACACCACTGCATCGATAACTCCAACCATTGCACACACTTGAGTAACTTTGAAGATTCCTTATTTCTTCTGTGTAACCATGTCATGTGCACCAAAGTCATGTTATATTAAGAATTGGTTATATATTAAGAATTTGAGATTCATTTTGTCAAATACCTAACATTTTTTTATCATAGTTTACGAATACTTAAGTTCAGATTGTTTAACAAATAGCAGTCCAACTGTGAAGTTTACATGAAGCCCCGAGAACTAGAATATATGATGCCTTCCCCCAATCTCTATTGCCTAATTAACTAAAAAAATTATCATTTACCAACTATTTAACAAAAAATTTATAAAGTTTTAAGATTTAAAATTCTTTCTCTCTGAGTGCAGGGCATCCTCATATGCTAGACTCTCATGTTGATAATTTAGCACGAAAATGAAAAATAATAGAATGAAAGGGTTGATAATTATAGGTAGATTGAACATTGTTCTCAATTTATCTCTGAATAATAACCTCGATTTCCAAACCCTGCTCACTAAACTTATTGGATATGCGTGACGACACATTGTGTGTTTATTTCCATTTACGCTGTATAGTTGATGAGCCGTATGCTGATGATGTGCTGATAGCTATAGTTATTTACCATACATGTATTTCCATATATATGTATGATGATTCTTTTCACTAGTTTACCCTTTATTGTTTCCAAGTGTTTTGGACTGTGATGATCATACGTTGTATGGGAGCAGAGCAGGGTTAGGTTGGTGACTTGTGGCAGGTCTGTAGCTGACAGATAGAGCTAATTCTTTTGATGTTTTGTTGTTTTAGCTACCTAGTGGGGTAGTGATGGATGTATTTTATTTATTTTGTTTTAGCCCCACCTTGTGTATATATTCTAGTTGTATATATATATATACTTGCTCTTTTCTGAGTGGTGCTGTGTGGATGTGCAGTGTGTAATGACTAGTCGGGTCGTTACACTTTAGTGGTATCAGAGCAGTTCGAGTCTAGTGGACACTCTTTGGGGGTGGTTCCTTTAGGTTTTTGTTGTGCTGAACTTTGTACTGTGCTAATTTCTTATTGTTTGTTGTGCTGTTGATTGTTGTTTGGTTTAGTTATTGTATACTGAAGATGTTGTTACTTTTGTAGACAATGACTAGAACTAATGAGCAGATAGCCCTTGCCATGGAGATGATGGCTATGGCTATGCAGCAGCAAAATGCCTATTTTTCTTGGATGGACGCTGATAGAGCTGCGGCTGGTGCAGCAAGGC